TACTAATCGATTTAAGACACATTCACTTCATGTAAAATTAAATAACACAAAAATTGCCCAATATATCAATCTATATAAAGACATCAACTGTCAAGGAACTGGCGATCGGTCGCAATTTAGAAAAACCACAAAACTCTTACAATCGCAAGGGGACAAAAGCGCCGAGGGACAAAGGTTTGCCACATCCGGACAGCGGGCGGAACGTTAAGAAAATGAACAGAATGTAACTAAAGTGTCATTTTCAAAAAAAGGAAACTGTCTTGCCGACAGGAAGCACCTATTCGATACCACTTTGTCACATTTTAAGGCTATAATAAAAATGTTGCGTGGAGTTCTGCACAATGATATCGTTAAGGTCTACAGGTTTCTTATTACTCATTGTATTGGGTGTCAGTAGATATTTTAAATGATCTCAGTAGATTGTATACAACTACAAATTTTGTAGAATTGTTGTATGAGATTTATATTAAAAATAAATACACGATACACCAGCTAATATACAATAATGCAAATAACACTATAAAATCCGTTGATAAATATACAATCTGTTCCTAAGACAATACTTAAATTAATTTTTAAAACTAATTAGGCCTAAGTCAAAGTCCGTAAGAGTATATTAAGAATTTTATTAAACCATTTTCAAGTCTTTTTTGTTTATGATAATAAGTGTGATAAGCATAAAAATTTTACTAAACTAATCAGTTTTAAGGGAACTAAATTTTAAACTGTTTTACCTTTATTCTGTTTTATCATACTCTCTGTCAGAAAGATTTTGCAAACATTTTGGGAAGACTGCCATATTAGAAATTAATTGTTATATAGCGTATTTAATTTGTTTGGTTATACTTGTTATTTCCTCAATTTTCAAACATACACCAAAGTACTGTTAAAAGTGGACAAGGTGGGTCGTAATAAATGATGGGTCTTACAATATATGAATATATGCAAAAGAAAGGATTAATATACGGATTCTAATATATTTACCGAAAGTTATTTAATAGAAAATAACATTGTAAATATTGTATATATAGCACCATAAAATGATTACATTTGTCTTCGATATGTTTTTGATATAAAATATCACATTTTGTATTTTTAAAATTATTTCATGGTAGTGACTATTTAACCGCCAATATAAATCCTATTGTAGATTTGTCTTTGCAGGGATACTTGTCATCGTCAGAAAACCATTTTCAATTGCGCATACTACATACTGGACTACCAGAAAAAACTGTGTTTAATCATAAATTACATTAGGCGAGGCAAGAGTTGTATAACATTATATTATAGCATGTTCCCATATAAATTACATTTATATACCCTAAACTAAAAGGTATTAGTTGTAAATATATTTGACAAATTTGACTTTATGTGGTTAAACGGAGTAAACGCAATCATAAATAATAAATCTACTGTCATTGGCACACTATCACTGTCTTTGGTACACAAATTACGTCATTACTAAAATTGAAAGAGATTATAATTATTTGAACTTTGACCATACTTTATTTTAATATTCAAAAGTAAGTTATTTGAATATTCATTATGTACAGGTCTGGTAGACAGGTACTATTTTACATGTGGTTAAATAGCCACTGCCATATTTAAAATGGAGGATATCCTCATTGTGTTTTATCTGTACCTAAAACGGACATTAGCTCATGAATCTCATAAAGCAAAAAAATACTTTTTAGGACTCTCCGGTTTTAAAAAGCTCCTGCTACACTTTATAAAGCGTTTCATAAAACAATAGCAAAAACGAAAACCTCAATAAAACATTCATAAGTTCAATCAAATGGGAATGACCTAACCTCACTTTTAAGCTTCTTATTTACTCTATGAAAATATAAAAATTAGTAATAATATGTTAACCATTTTTCTTTTTCACTGATCATTTCCAAAATTTTAGGAACTCGGAATGTTTTTTTGGTATTGTTAAACAATGGCACCCAATAAGGAGAACGAGAAACATACACTTATTATATACTTATATATTTTTTTTATTCTCTATGGAAATTACCACTTTTCTTTGTTATAAGCAATTTATCTTTCGATCAACGTCAACATAATGTGATTGTGTTGAAAAGCTAGGTTATGTTCTAAAACAAACTTCTTATTAAAAGTATGTAGTTTTAAAAGGACCCTATATCGTTTACTAGATTAAATAAATTATAAGATTTATGTTGTAAAATTGTAGAAAATATATCTAAATGGTTCTGGGATCAATTTGATTTAAAGTATAATCCTAAAACACTTTTTAAAACGTATGCCTCTTTAACACCAAACACACCTTAGGAGTATCTTCAAACTAAATAGTTCTAAAATTACTAAATAACTAATCCTTACAGGACAGTGATAAAGTATAGTTTACTTTAGGATAAACTAGGATGAGTAGTGCTTATTGTCTGCTATCTGTATAGATGAAAATGTTCCTTCCAGTGATATTGTTTCTGGTAAACTACTTTTGCTACTGTGAGAATCCCTGTGAGCTCCGTTTGCACTACACTGACACTCTGTCTCATATATATTAAAGCCAAAATAAAATTTAAAAAAATCATGACGTTCCTATTAAATTAGAGGTTACGAAAGTGCGGGCCATTCGCGGTCAAATAAATGAAATAATATTGCTTTATTTAAACATGAAAAATTAACCATAGAAACTTTATTAACTACGAAAATTCAGCAACACTAAGAATGAAAAAAGACCAGTGGATTAAACAATCATCTTTTATTACAACAAACGTCAGTCAAAACAAACTGTATCTGAAAATACTGCTGTAGTGTTTCCACCATGGAGGTAGGGATATTGAGGAAGATGCTATGTTCATTTAAACAAATTGACATCGTTGGGCAAGGTTAAGTGGACGTAAGTGAAGCATCAATATCTTGGCCGTACCGGGTCCAGACTAAATTATTTCAATCTGGATAGAATGGTCAAGTATATACTAAAATAATTTTTCCGATTTGAGTCGAAAGCAGATATAAACAATTAATATAATTTTCGGTTGAATATTTAAATTTAGTGAATTTTGTTACAGAACTATAAAAATAAAACAAAATCAACTTTTAGAAATTCAAATAAAAAGAATTTAACTATTTAAACAAAAACTATTTAATTATTAAAAAAATCTTTTTAACTATTTAAACAGAAATTGTAAATTTAAACTAAATAAAAAAAATGGTAGTTATTACATATTTTAACACAAATTTTAAGGGGATTAAAACTTTTTTTCATAAAAAAAAACAACATTTTCTTTCAACATCGAGTATTTTTGGGTAAATAGTAATGGGTAATAGTAAAAAGAAAAAATATTATTTATATCTACTTTTACCCTAAATCTAAAAGAAATTTTACAAAATTAAACCCGTACTGGACATCAATTTAAAACTACTTACACAAAAATAAAACAAACCCCATCGGTATAAAATACATTTATTGCCCTTTATATGTATAGTAGTTTGTGCAACAAGAGTGGATATGATGGGCATATCGCACGAAGACGAAATTTGAGCACGACGCCGTAGGCGGAGTGATCAATCGTCTGTGTGTGATGTGGACGATCCACTCGAGTTGTACAGTATATTTTTTCTACGACCCACTAACGAAAATTTACAAATAACAAAATATATTGGGTTATTAAGACAAATAACTAATTCTAAAATAATTTATGGCTTTTAATAATTTTTAAAATAAAATAAAAGAAAAACAAAAAAGATTTAATTGAAAAGTCCCCAGCCGAGTCTCGAACTTGGGATTTTCGCGTGGAAATTTTATTAATAAATGAATTATCTTCATAGAGTTTTATTAAAATTAATGAAATTATTTATAATTTTAGTACAAATAAAAATAGAAATGCTATTATTTATCGACTCTACACAAAAATAAGTCATTATAATGTATATTCAAGTCTAATAACTAAAAAATATACTGAAAATTAGTTTGACCGAATTGTCACTTATTTAAAATTTTAAAAATAACAGTCGTCGGATGACCAAAATATGAACTGTGATGGGTGGATTTAATTATTTTGCAGTGTTCTCAGTGCATAGAATGGATATATAATTTAATTGTTCAGTTAATGGCAATAGTATACTTTTGCGTTTTGTTGCCTGTGCGTAGAAAAGTGTGGGTGTTGAAAAAATTAATTGCGTACTCTCTTGATAACTCTATACAACTATAATGCAAAATATTTAATGACAAATTAAATAAAAAAAAAGAAAGTGTACCTATATAGATGGATATTATCTGACAGGATAAAGACATAATGACCTAACGTGGACGTCCACTAGACGTCAAAATACTACTAAACTTAAAATTAGGTCCAAAAACAAACTTCCTCTGGATATAGATATGTAGCTGTCAAATTAATGAGATCATAAACGGACGTACACTGAATATCCAAATACGGATATGGACGTTCTGACCCTCAAATGGATCCAAAGTCGACGTCGATTGGACTATGTGTGCTGTCTGGGTATGAAATATCTCTAGCATTTGTGAAGCATCGGCGTATCCACCCTTAAAGGACTAGAATAGTCTAAAACTAGTTACCACTGGTGAATAAATGTTCCTTCTGGACTCCAGGACTGGATGACACTTAGTGATGAGCGAGACTGGTCTTGGTCTTGCGGTCTTGGTCTTGGTCTTGGTCTTGCTTTTGTGCAAAACCAAGACCAAGACCAAGACCAGCTGAAAGCTTGCAAGACCAAGGCCAAGACCGAGTGGGCAAGACCAAGACCAAGTGGTGCAAGCCTTACGCAAGGCCAAGACTCTTGCGGTATTGCGTTCTTTAATTGTTGTCTGAAAATAAAAGGTAAGTATATAAACATTCGTCTCGAAAAACCTTGGTTTTCAATATATAGGATGTGTTTTTAAAAATGTGTAAATTAATACTGGATCTCAGGCGTAAAGCAGAAACTTTCGATTTAACTGTTTGAGGAGCTGAGTTAAAAGTACAAACTTTAAAGACATTTGAGTCAATATTCGATGTTTACTGTAGCCAGGAGAGAGTGATAGAACCGTTAACAAAAGATAAGATCGACTCCAAATCAAGTGACGATGACGATGAAGATACAAATTTCAACAAGTTCTATTCTGTACCAGGTACTTCATCCGGCTCTGGTATATCTGGATCTGGCTCCCAAAACCAAAGAAAGGAAATAGACGATTATCTTAGTCAGCCTAGGGCAGTAAGCAACGAAGATATTTTAGAATGGTGGAAACGTCATGAGTTCCAATTTCCTCTCTTAGCGAAAATGGCACGTGATTTTCTGTCCATTCCAGCAAATTCGATTCCTACCGAAGTACATTTTTTTCAAAAGCAACATCGTAATAGACTAAACAATGAATCTGCCCGTTGGCTTCTTTGCATTGATTCTTGGCAATAACATAATCTATCACTTGTTCACTACATAATTTAGCCTATTTTTATATTTAATTTTTGTGTTACGAAAATACATTTGGTAATATAGACAACTTTTAATCATTGTTGCTTTTTTTTAAATGTCCGTATGTTTAAGTTGTTTTGATCCAGTATTTTATGCCAGTATGCTATGCATCTATACCTTTTATCCCATACCAAGACTAAAACCAAGACCGAGTGTGCAAGACCAAGACCAACCCGGTCTAGGTCTTGTTTTGCCCATCACTAGTGACAGTGCTGCCTAAATCCCTAAATAATATAATAACAACAGTAGATAAAGACCTAACAGTAGTTACAAATGTTCTTTAGGCTAGTGGTGACATGTGGATGTCCTTTTGACTAGTTGGTTGTTACAGTGGTGACCAGCGGTGCTCTTTTTGACTAGTTGGTTGTTACAGTGGTGTCACCGCTGTCACCACTATAACAACCAACTGTAACAACCAACTAGCCCTAAGACCATTTGTTTCAACAGCTGACAGGTCTTTAGCTACTGTTGTAAATATACTATTAAGAAATTTAGGCAGCACTATCACCAGTCAGAAGGTCCTGGAGTCCAGAAGGAACATACATTCACCAGTGACAAATAAAAATAATAAAAAAATTAAATTAAAAGAACAAAAGTTATTCCTTAATAGCATATTCGAGCGGTTCTTGGCAAATAGTTTTAGGCTCTTCTAGTCCTAGGGGTAGAAACGCCGAGGCTTCTCAAATGCTCGGAATATTTCATAACTGATTTTGGAAAGGGGAGGATAGATTAATAATTATTAAATCAGTAACAAATGTATATTTATAATAAGTATAAAATGACTAAGAGTCTTAAGAATAAATGAATCAAGTTATATTTAGGGAGTAAAGCAATATTTGATAATATATCCAAACTCTTAATAAAGATTTATGACAACTAGATAAACATTTTATTGAATTATATAGTTTGGACCTATTAACAACTAAAATAGTACTGGAAACTTTAACTATATAATAATATAAGATAAATCTAATACTCGGGACGAAAATGGAAAAATTAGCATTTATATGTAAAAACTATGAATTATCTCAAACAAAACACTTTAAAAATAAGTTAAAAATATTTACCCAGAGTTCACAAATCGCTGCACAAAACGTTACTTTACACATTACTTTGTTTCGGGACTTAGGGTCCCGAAACTAGGGTCTCGCCTTTCGGCAATAGTTTCGGACTTCGGTCATCACTTAAGTCACTTTCTTTTTGTCTAGTCTCTTTATTTAAATCCAAAATTTACGTGACAGTTGTACTTGTTAGTATGTCAATATTCTAGCTTGAATTCTCTAGTTCAATGTAAGCCATTAACAAGAGTAATAAACTAACTGTTGATTTTATTGCAATACGTGTATTTTCTTTTGAATATTAATTTAAAACATTAAAATATACTTTTTTAGAATTTTTGGAAAATTCTTTATATTTACAAATAATTATAATAATACAATATCAGCAAAGTGTCTTTATCGAATTTTTCTGTTACTCGCTTCGCTCGGCTCATAATATTAGACTAGTTCGATAACGAATCACTTTGCTGACTTGGTACATAAATAACTATTATACTGCTGTGAACAAACTTGATTACTCGCCTATAACGTTATTGTGCTCAAATTTTAATCAGTATTGTTCTGATTGTAATATTTATTTCGACCCTCTTGTCTGAGAAAATGAACATTAATTATATTTGTAAATAATATATTTAGATTTTTTTTAATCTTTTTTGCTGTTAGTTGTTGAAATTATTATGTTATAATATTATGTTTGGCATTTATTTAATATATTACGTATTGTACCTGTTCAAGCCTTGGCGGTATGTAATCTACTATTATTCTACTATTTCTTTGAATAGTTTTACATTTATTTCTCATTTTTTTCAAACCTTTATGCATCCTAATATTTTGTTTTAATTTTGCATCTCTATTTTCTGAGAATTTTACGTGTATTTATAAGTAATTCAGTATGACAACATTGATTGCAAGTTTAAAAAAAGTCTTGTTAATATTTTTATTTCATTATAACACAATCTTTATTAAAAAATTAATTAATCCACCTTCGCGATCACCAACAGCGCGGCATGCCCCTCTTCACCGGGGGTGCCCTCTGGGAGCCTGTTTTCGCCAAACAATCACGCGTGCTCGAACCGAATCATCAAATGAGGAGGCAGAACTTTACTCTATAACACATTTAGAGATTATGAAATAAGTAGCAAAACCTCCCTTCTTTGATAGTCGACCATGTGTCAAAAGAGGTGTATCTTTGCAACGCCCTCTACAGCTGCAACAGGGCATTCAATGGTCTCAGGATTGTCACTGGGAAGGCGGAGATCAACTGTCACATTCGCGACCCGTGCCGAAATAATAGACAGGGCCAGGAAGTAGGACGAAAATTGGTGGTTATGTGCTATTTTGTATTTGGAAATTGTTATAGCCGGTACCACTGCTATTATGACTAAATATGACAATGATTATGGGGTCAAAATACTTAAGGAAGGGGAAGCCGTGAGATTTTTGATTTCTATTATCAATTCGTTTCGTAATATAATTCATTTTTTATAATTTTAAAATATAAAGTGACATTTTTGTAATCATAGCAAGTGTCAAATTGATCTACTTTACGCAACCAGTTGCATAATATTCAACATTATGAAACTGATTAGGAAAAATTTATTATGCCACCAGTTGAGAAAAAAAAATAAAAATAGGTAAACCTTTTTTGGTTTTAAAATCAATAATCTACATTATCTTTGAAAGTATATAAAAAAGAAGGGCAGGTTTATTTATAAAAATATAAGTGGGTTAAACTTACAACCTAGTAATAATGTTGTTTTTGTCCTTATTTTCCATTTTAAATGGACACAAAATAATTAAAACCCAATATACGACAAAATAACCCACTTTCTTAAAATCTAAATAAACGAACTACAATAAGTCTTTGAGAAAAAATGAATATAGTTTTCTATTCGTCAATAAAATAATGAAGTTAATTATATGCAACTACCCAGACAACACACCAAATCCCAGAGATATTCACAGAATATCTTTTGTGGATATCTAATATATTCACAGGATATCAGAAATATTCCGTGGATCTAATATGGATATCCAAATGTCCGTCTATATCCAGAATATAGAAAATATCCTATGGATATCCAGCAAAATATCTAATGAGTATCTTCCAGACAATACAAGAAATCCCAGAGATATCCACAAAATATATTCTGTGGACATCCAACTAAATGTCCGTCTATATCCCAGGATATAGAAGAATTCGGTTCATAAGTAACCAATGATTATTGAATAAAGTCGAAAGAAAATAGCAGAGATAAAAAATATTTTCAACACTCAAAATATTTTCAACACTCTGCCTTTGATTTTGCCCACTAAGGAGAAAATTATCCTTATTAGGACTCAGCAATAAATGGAAATTCTCGACTCCAGTCTCTAATGGATAATGGAGTCTGATTGTGAAACAAATTTCGATCAAACTCAATTACGGAGGGTTGAGCATGAGTAGATGCGAAAGTAGTATCGCCATCTATACTTAGTAAGCAAAATCAAAAATTACATCTAGTGGATATCCGCGTTTGCGTTCGCGCCTAGACTTGGATATATTTAGTGGATGTCCATGGGATATTGAATACACCTTAATTTTTTAATAATTTGCTATATAATTTATGAACATTTGCATGTCTATAAATTACACCTCATGGATATAAAATAGATATCCACCATGGACTGGACATTCAGTGGATATTGGAATGTTCAGTAGATATCCAAAGGATTTGGTGTGCTGTCTGAGTAACAATATAAGAAAGTAGTAATATTGTTCGCCTAGAAAGTCGAACATTGTCAAAGTTTTCTTGTTTGCAAACAGCCCACCATAAAATAAAGAGCGGCCCAAAAAAATGTTTCTAAAGTAGGCCATGGCCAACCAGACACACAAACGGACCATGTCTGTGATTAGTACGCGTGGTTATGAATTAAATCCAAACTGATTCTTAAAAAAAGAAGAACTGGATTCATCGTGAAATTTTCCAAGAAATCACTCCTTATAACGTTGCCACGGCCTTTTTCGTTTTTCCTTAGATATTTTATTGGTTAATCTCATATATATTCAGAGACGTTCTATGTTTTATTTATAAAAAGAAACCAGAAAGTTTTGTGCATGCGCAATACTCTTTTCAACTTATTCATCAAAATTGTCGATATATAGGCATGAGTAACCCCAGTATAAGTATCAATCAGTATTGGCACCCCGAGGCGGCACGTTTAATCTTTAAAAGTAGAAATTTTAGTTGACACTTGACGTTTTCAGGTTATGATAAGTTTTCTTTACACGGACTTGGTTGTACCTGGTTAGTTGAATTATTGTTCTGCAGCTTTTCAAATTCGTGTGTATCAGTGAGATGTGTGATACCTCCATCCAGACAACGGTTGAACAACTTAACTACTTTGAAGAAGAAAATCGATTGGATATCAGGGCAGTCTTCGCAAATATAAAAAGGACAGAACCGTTTTAAATTTTTTTGTATATGTGATTGAGTGTCAAAAATGTTTGAATTTCGAAACTGAAATATTAGTTTTTAGTGAAAAGTTTAATTACTTTTAGTTCGAAATATAACGTTAGTTTGTCAAGGGAAATATTTAAAATCCACAAGGTTAGACTAACAAAATAGTGGTATTTCTTAAGAATTACTCTATCTAAAACTATTCTGGTTTGTTGTAGAATTTTATTCTATTCGTTATTTAGGTACTGCAAAATCTATAGGAAAATATGTAGTTTTAAATATAAAAATTTCGATAAAAAAATGTGTATAGGTACCTAATTTATAACGAAGACACATTTAGTGTAGTTATTTTACAAATATATACTTAGTCACTTGTTTTTGTGAATGAGTTCAAGTATAGCAAACTAAAATCGTTACTTTTTATTATGAATTAATTTGAATT